AATAGTGACATTGTAACACTATTATCTATCATAAATCTCTGAATAACACCCCACATGTACATATTTTTTTTAAAGTAGACAACCCAGGGTATTCAATATGGGGTATGTCCAGTCTTTTTTAGTAGCCACTTAGTTGAAAACACTGGCCAAAGTAAGCATTCATATTTGTTTGTGTGTGAAAAAAGTAAAAAAACTAAATTGACGCTAATTTTGGCCAGTGTTTGTGACCAAGTGGTTACTAAAAAAGACTGGACATACCCCATTTGCAATACCTTGGGTTGTCTTCTTTTGCAAATGGTATGCCATCATGGGGGTAATTCTCATTCCTGGGCTACCATACGCTCTCAAAGGCAACGTAACCAACCTGGCCATTTTCAATGTAAAAATATTTGACCCATATATTTGACCTTGTAACTTTCACAAATGCTATAAAACCTGTACATGGGGGGTACTGTTTTACTCGGGAGACATCGCTGAACACAAATATTAGTGTTTAAAAACTGTGTTTAAAAACTGGAAAACGTATCACAACAATTATATCATCAGTAAAAGTGCTGTTTGTGTGTGAAAAATGCAAAAAAAGTAACTTTCACTGACAATATCATCGCTGTGATATGTTTTACTGTTGTGAATCACTAATATTTGTGTTCAGCGAAGTCTCCCGAGTAAAACAGTACCCCCCATGTACAGGTTTTAGGGTGTCGTAGAACGTTACAGGGTAAAATACAGTGCTAGCAAATTAAATTCTCTGGAATTTCGGCCTGGGTTGGCAGGCAGGTCCCTCAAATTGCAATCAATAAAATTACTGAATTATGTAAAAATATTACATAAATACGCACGTAGAATTTAAATATATATGCATATTTATATATTTGAAGTCTACGTGTATATTTATATAATTATTTATGTAATTTTGTATATGGACATATGTATATTTCTTATTATTTTTATTTATTTTTATATACATAGATATATATACAAATTCATTCTAAGTGTATTTTGATATAAATATATATATATTAATTTTAAAATACAGTTAGAATAAAATTTCATATAGCTATATAATTTTTTTTTTACATTTTATATTATTATTTAAAAAAATTATTTAATTTAAATTACTTATTATTTATATTTTATAATAATATATATATACAATATATATAGTTATTATATATATTATATATATACGTGTGTAATTTAATTATAAGTGTATTTTTATATTAATATAAGTACATATTAATATAAAAATACACTTAGTATGACATTATATATATATATATGATATATAGACATATATTATATATATAATATGTCTATATATCATATATACACATATATAATTATTTTATTTATTTTTTATTAACACTAACTTTATTTTTTTTTTTGATTTTACACTAGCAGGGAGACTGCCTGTCAGCACAGGCAGTCCCCCTGCAGGCAGACACATGGACACCTATTGTGACCATGTGATCGCTGTGTTAAGCGATCACATTGCCACAGGGGTCCTAATCTGCCGTGGGGAGACTGTCTGGGCTGCAGGCAGTCTCCCCACAACCGGAGCAACGCTGATCGCCGCCGGGGGAACGACGGCGGTCAGGTAAGTAGCTCTGACCGTTAGGACGGTTCAGGACCGTCATCGGTCGGCAACGCAAAAATGCCGATGACGGTCCTGAACCGTCCTCGGTCCTTAAGGGGTTAAGAATGTTTTGTTTTATTTTGTTTGTCACCTGGTTTTTGAAGACCTATATCCAGCATGGAAAGCCTGGTTATTATAATACAAATCAAGATTACAGAAGAGGATGGAATTTAGATAAGCCTCAATTTAATATTTTTGGAAAAGTTCTTTCAACGATCAGTGACAAAAGTCACTAACAAAGTATATGGTGGGAATAGTTGTAGATAAATAATGTGAAGTATTTCTAACAGAATGTGATCATTTGAAAAGCTTATTCAAGAATATTAAATCAAGGCCATTTAGTCAAATTAAGAATCTCATTCATATTTCATCAATCTTCAATTCATACAGAATTTACCATTACGTAATAAATATAGCTTATAAAAACATCATGGCTATAGAAAAATAGGTAAATACAATGGGATGTTAAACTCTTCCATTTTAACATGCATAGTTTTATTTTTACAAAAAGATCCTGCGCTCCTGCACTCCTGCGCACACTCCCATCACTCCTTGGCGGCAGCAAAGACCACAGTACACATTAGCCCCTATATACACAGTACAAACCAAAGAAAAAAGTTACCAGCGCTCTCTCCTAAATCCCTATGTATATTTAAACAAATGGAGGTAATTTAGTTACTCCAATGGCCATTGGAAGGAATGCCCGCCTGCCAACATCAAGGCAGTTTTATTTTTACTTATGTGTTTTGAAGAAATAGATTTAATATTGTTCCATTACAATCTGAATTACCTAACATCTTCAAAGTGTAATTTCCAGATAGGGGCTAAATAGACCATAAGAACAAATTATATCATATTCTCTTTAATATTATCACAATCTTCTTTTTATGAATGACATAGAAGAGCAAATTTAATTATAATGTACACACCAATAGGCAATTGTTCTAGATCAGTGGTTTTCAACTAGGTTGCTGTGGCACACGGCGTTGAACACTTCCTCAAAGTGTGCCATGACACTGACATTAGGGCTGGAATTAGTTGAATGCAGTCCTTAAAAGCATGTCAGCTAGACATGTGCAATTTGTTTCGTTGCCGAATTACCAAAGTCCTGAATTGCCGAATTACTGAATTACCGAATTGCCGAATTTCAGAAGTGCCAAAGTGCTTCAGATTTTTTAAAAGTGGCAAAACAAGAGGAGTGAAAATTATCTGAATGATGACAGGAATCTAGACCAATAAGCTAATTCCTGGCACTGGGAGCCCTATAGATGTGTAAGTGGTTGTGGTTGCAATCCGAGAACCTAACCCAACCCCTAACCTAACCCTAACCCTACCGCTACCCCTAACCCTACCCTAACCCTACCCCTAACCCTACCCTAACAGTAACCATTCCCCTTAACCTAATCCTACCCTTAACCTAACCCTAACCATACCCCAACCCTAACCCTTACTCTAACCATAACCTAATCCTACCCCTACCCTAGCCCTACCCCTAGCCATAACCTTACCCTAACCCTCTCCCTACCCATGACCCTACCCATAACCCTAACCCTAACCCTACCCCTAACCCTAACCATAACCCTACCCCTTACCTTACATCTAACTCTACCCTACCCCTAAACCTACCCCTAGCCAAAACCCTACCCCTAACCGTAACCGTACCCCTAACCCTACCCTACCCTAACCCTTCCCCTAACCCTACCCATAACCCTAGTCCTACCTTAACCCTAACCCTGCCCCTAACCCTAACCCCACCCCTAACCTTAACCCTACTATAACCCTACCACTAACCTTAACCCTACCCATAAC